TATAGAAAGTTCCCTGGAAAAGTTTGCTTTTTATCCCTTGGGGATCCTGTAATGTAGATAATTTATTTCAAAGCTTATTATACCTTGGGAGTGTATGATAGTGTCTTAGTTAGGGTTTCGCTGCTGTGAACAGACACCATGACCAATGGAAGTCTTATAAGGACAACATTTAATTTGGGGCTGGCTTACAGGTTCAGAGGTTCAGTCCATTGTCATCAAGGCGGGAACATGGCAGCATCCAGGCAGGCATGGTGCAGGAGGAGCTGAGTTTTCTACATCTTCACCTGAAGGCTGCTAGTGGAAGACTGACTTCCAGGCAGCTAGGATGAGGGTCTTAAGCCTACACTCACAGTGACACACCTACTCCAACAAAGCTATACTTTCTAATAGAGCCACTCCCTGGGCCGAGCATATACAAACCATTGCAATAGCATTGTTGGTAATTGAGTAAAACTTTTCATTTGAGGGGAAGGGATGTGAAGAATATTATATCATGGGAGGCACTCAACCTTGAATCCCAGCTTTCCGGCTTAATAGCTAGAATTCAGGTCATCTTCCTGACCCTTGCTTTTCTGTTCCTTAAAATGGGGATGCTGTAAGATGGCTTCTGACTGACTATGTGTTGTGACACAATGTGCATGTGCAGTTGTGTGGCACCTACTAGGTGCTTGGGAGCAGAGGCTGGGCTGTTTTCTGCTGTTGGATGCTCAGGTCTGTGGTCTGTCTCTCCTTCTTCATCAGTAGCCCCTCCCATACAGCCTGCATGTGAAAAGCGGATCAGGAATGGTTTTGAATCCAGTTAGTTTTATTGACTATTGATTTTCTTTTCGTGTTGTGTTACCCCTTTCTGGAAGTTTAAAACACAAAATGTGGATGAGAACCTTTTTCAGTTGTGGAAGGAGTAACATGGCTTGCTAACTCTCTTTCCAAAGCAACATGAAGCCGACACTTCTCTGATCAAGAGATGACATTACCCCCAATTCTCTCCACCCCTTCTGTCTCTCATCCAGCTTTGCTCAAGTTAAAGCCAGTGGGCGGTCGCTGTGCTCTAGAATCCAAATATGTGAAGACCATATGTTTACCCAGTGACCCCTTTCCCTCTGGGACTGAGTGCCACATTTCTGGCTGGGGCGTAACAGAAACAGGTGAGTCTCCATACACACAGGAGAGCTATACCATCCAGAGAATAAAGGACCAATGGCATCTGCCCTCCTGCTCCTGAAATAAGTTCAAAATGCATCACTAAAGAATACATCTGCCTCATTGCCCAGGCCCTAGTTGAGTGTAACCATTTGCATGGACCTTGCCCTGTAGGCCTCTGATCTCTACAGTGGTCTCTGGCCTCCTGTTCTAGACATGTGACCTCTCTCAAGCACTGAGTGTACACCAGGGAAGACCACGCTCCTTCTCTAAGGAGATTGCAAAGATGCTGGGTACATGTGGCATCGGGCAGGCACTCAGGGGCAAAGATAACACTGTTGTAAGCTTCTGACACTGGACACCTCTTCAGTGTCAGCCGTTCTTGCTTTCGGCTTGAAGAGTCTTGGTTGTTTCTCAAGCATCTCAGTTTTACTTTCTCAATTGTCATTTTTTTTTAACCTTCAGGGCTGAGATCATGTGCACCGAAATTATATCTTGAATACAAAGACGTTCGCAAGAGTATTTTCAAGTTTTTGCCAAATACTCAAAACATGTCACCTCCTACTAGTAGTATCCTTAATAATGGACGGGGGGAAAAACACTTTGAATAGGTTTAGATTCATAAAGGAAAGGAAGTAGAATGTATGTGATACATTTGCCAGAGGCTCAGGGGAGAGAAAATCTCTGACTAATTGGACACAAGGTCAACCAGGAAGTTTTTTGTAGCTCTTTGTTGTAGTCTGGCTAAGCCTTTCCACTTTCGCTCTCCTTAATGGGGTCTGCTCAGCGTGGTGATGTCTTAGCTGGGGAACCTTTAGGGCCTCAGATTAGAATGCCTTTATCTTTCCACAAATAGCTCTTAAGATTGTATGTTCACAGTCAACGATGCTTCAAACAATTTCATTATCTTTAAGAAGGGGATGTACTCTCCAGGAAGCAGATGATTTAATGTCTCTGGGCACTTCAGCTGTTCACCCACCCATTTACGTTCGCACGATTCCATCTGTCCGTCTATCCTCATCCATCCACGCATTCATCTCTTCATTTCTTCAGGACCTACTATGTGTTAGCCCTTCTGCTAGATACAGGAAATTTAAAGATGGTTATGAACCATCTCCACTTTCCAGAGTTCACGATCAGGTTGAAAAGGCAGAGAATGGAACAAGTGATTTGTCCAACTGTAGTCAGAATGGCTTTGAAAGTGCACATAGGGGTAAGGAGGGTGCAGTGAAGTTGGCTCTGGTGTTGGAAGAGAGGATGTTTCTCCCCTCTTCTATAAGAGCACCATTTTCCCTGAACTGAGAGTTGGTGGCTTCTTACTAATGGTGAGTAGAGTGAGTATCATTCCAGTCTTCATGGTAGTGACTATTTTCTATCCCACAGGGGAAGGGTCCCGCCAGCTCCTGGATGCTAAAGTCAAGCTGATCGCGAACCCTTTGTGCAACTCCCGACAACTCTATGACCATACAATCGATGACAGTATGATTTGTGCAGGGAACCTTCAGAAGCCTGGATCGGACACCTGTCAGGTCAGAAACTCCACATGGTACTTGGAGGTAGAGGCTCACTGAATATCAAGCTGAGCAGAGAGGCCTATGATAGCTCTGGAATGGGAACCAGGGTCAACAGGCCGCCTGCTTCAGCATTAAGACACAGGAGGGCATATCTATTTGAGCCTGCATCGAGATGGGGCATCGTAATAACTAATCGAATATTGCTGCATTGCCTTGTTTAACTCCCCCAGCATCCTATGATGTCACCGTCATGCATTACAAAGGCTTGTAGACATTATCAATGTCAGTAGCAACAGAGTAGAAAGTGACAGACAGGAAGGAGATCAGAACAACCCAGCTGTGTGCAACACCAGAGCCTTTGCTACTCTGCTGTACTCCAGCAATGGCAAATCCTCAGCAGCTAAGGTCTATGGAGATTCAAATATGATCCTGGAGACAGAGGAGGTGGTGATTCCATCAACTGTAGGCTAAGGGGAACTCAGGTCCCTGCCCCAGATCCAATCCCACACCCCACTTAACTCAGGGCTTGGGTCACATGGAATGCATTGTTTCTAGACTCCCAGGATCAGCTCTGTTTAGGCTTTCTGCCTTTCCTTACATACTGCCCAGCTGTCATCAAAAACCCAGCATACCCACATCCTAATCCTGACAGAGCCTCCCTACAAACGGACCCAACGATAACCAGCCAACACAGAGCCTGTTTGGGTTTGGAAACTGGAGTTCCTCTCTCCAGAGTTCATGGTTCTGTTTTGATCCTCTATACCTCTCCAAGGGCATATGGATAGCCACATATTCAGAATGGAGAAGAGCGAGTGGATGTGGTTTTTCCTAAGCTCTTGGAGGATAAGTAGGGTCACCAGGGTCACAGCTTGCTCGGTTTTCTACATAACTCAAGGTCTATACTGAAAGGAAGCCAATAGTCATGGTTTTGAAGACTGATTCTGTCTTGTATTATAGGACCTCAATCAATCATTGAAAAGATGTGTCAAACTTCAGATACCTATAATGTGACCATAAGATCACAAGGTATTGATTGGTTATGATTAGGAGAGTAAGTTACGTGATGAAAGCTGTTAGCCGTGATGACTAAGCAAGCTGTTCCCTCTCTGCTTCCCTCCTGCCCATCTCTCTGCCTGGCCTACACACTTCCAAAAGAATCTCCACAATTCCTCTCAGGAGCACAATTCCTCTATGGCTGTCCACAGCTCTCTACTGAAAAAGCAAGGCCACAGGTCAGCAGGCAGTAGGCTGAAGATACAAGGTTACCTCTGAGTCTCTGCCCTACTCCTTATATGTGGGTCTGTCCAAACAAACCATCACCCACCTTGGTCAGCTACTAGAAGAAGTTGAGGAATCCTGGGAACTGAAAATTCTAGAATTGAGAGTCAGGAAGCATTACTTGTCCACAGTTCTGGGCTTCAAGCTTTTTCCAAACTAAGGAAATGAAGCTGGGGTTAGCTTCTCTCCCTTTAGAGCTGTGCATCATGGGAAGCTTGAGAAGAGCTTTGGCACTGGTATCTAGAGAAGCCCAGGGTAGCTAGCAGGCTCTACCATCCCCTCATAGGCAGTCTGAACCTAGTTCCCAAGGCTGAACCCCTTTTGCTCTTCCCTTAGGGCGACTCGGGGGGCCCTCTAACCTGTGAGAAGGATGGAATTTACTACGTCTATGGGATTGTAAGCTGGGGTCAGGAATGTGGAAAGAAGCCAGGAGTCTACACTCAAGTTACCAAGTTCCTGAGTTGGATAAAGACCACCATGCACAGGGAGGCTGGCCTCTGAGGTGCTGTCTGGAGAGACTTGAAGCCTCTCTTATTTAGAACCAAACAAGAGGGGCTTCCTGTGTAGCCAGGGGTGTGCTGGGTCCATGCTCTAGACAGAGGTGTTGCTGCTCAGCCTGGGCTTTTCCAGACTGGCACTATACCGTCTCATGAGGCCCATTCTGCCCTTCTCTCCCTGGGAACCAACAAGAAATACATTACCTTTGCCCCGCTTCCGACAAGTGTACCTTCTAGAAAACCAGAATTCAGAAACATTCTTCACCATGGAGACCTGAAAATCTGAGATTCCTGCATGCCCAGCACCAGGGGATGTTACCCTGATTCTTACTCTTCTGCCCACACCATCAGGGTCCTCCACAGAACTAGCCAGTCTCATGCAGCCATCATAGAGAAACCCTCCCCCAAAATCACAAGCTCTTTGTTTGCTTCCAGAGTTGTTGTTTTAATAAAGGCACACGTGGAAGTGGGGAGGATGTAACATTTTTTAAACTCTCGCTCGTCCAGACTGAAGCCACGGAGGCATGCCTCAGGCAAGCAGCCCTCAAGGTGGCTTCTTTCTCAAGGAGGTTCACATCAGCAGAGTCTTCTTCCTGTTGATATGCAGGACCTCCAAGGCATCCGGGTTCACTCCCCTGCTCTGATGATCTCCAAGCTCCGCTGCCTCTGGTTCCACCTGCGGAAGCCACACATAGTGCCCCCACTCCCTGAGTTCACACGAAAGCCCCTTGCTGCTCCCACAAGCCATGCTAAGATGCCCGGCAAACATCTAACACATTTCCCTCCCCTCCTTTGTCCTCTCTTCCACCCTCCCCAAGAAAAAAGGAACCTCAAGGCAAAGATGAGAAAGAAGCAAAGCCTGTTTCTCATTTAGATGTGGTGTCTCTCTCCTGAACAAAGTAGGGTTCAAAATGTAGACTGCTGGAACCAGCAAGTCCCTGACCCTTTCCGAGAATGTAACGAGCAAGCAGTCAGCGCAGCCTGGGCTGCCCTGGCCCGGGATTGATGTCGCCCTGGTAGGTTTGCCTCTGCAGAACTAATGGCTGTGACTTCAGAGGAAGCCCGCAGGAAGTTTAACCCACGTGTCATCTGCCCGGTCATCTCAGACCCATGAAATTAGGCGCCTTGTTCAGCTGCCTTTCACGCTTCTTTAGAACTAGCTGACCTTTGGCCAAAAATAAACTTTGAAAAGCAACAATGAGTTTGTATTTCCCGTGGTCTCGCAAGGCAGGGGGCAGCTGGCAGCTTGTTACTCACAGAAGCCCCCTGGATTCCCAGGCCCCTCCTGTTGGCCAGTTCTGCAGCCCGTCGAGCCATTTCCACTTTGTAGGAGCCAGGAGGGGTCCAGCCAACACCTCGAGTCAGGTTTAAGTCAGATTTGTACTTGACCTTGAGGGAAGGAAGAAGCAAGAGGAAAATCAGCAGGATTGGGTGCTTTGACCACCAAGTGAGGTATTAAAAGGCAGCCTGGAGATGCAGACCACATTGACATCATTAAAGTCAGGACAAAGAGCAGTCACGTGATGCACAGAGGACCCAAACAATGAGCCTGGCACGCCTGAAATCCTCCCACTGAAACAGTGGGAATTCCAGTGGGGTAAAATACCCGGGGACACCTGGTTCAAGTCTAAGTGCCTATCTGAATGTGCTCTGTGTCCTTGGAAAACTCCCCTCCCCTCTCTGAGCTTCAGTTGCTTATCAGGGAAAGCATAAAACTGGCTTCTGTAATTATCAAGACCCCATGAAAATATCAGAACCAACCGGGGCCCAAGCCTTCAGACTGGACAGCTCTGAGTGGCTGAGCACATGAGGAACACGCATAAGACCCTCGGCTCAATCCCCAATGTCAATTAATTAATTAAGAAAAATAAGAAGTTGGGCTATCACATCAAATACCCTGGAGCTGTGTGATCTTAGGTTACTAACTTCTTCTGGCTTGGGTTTCTTGTCTGTTAAAAAGGCAGCACTGGGACCAGAAATGCCATGCCACCCAATCCTGAGAAAGCATTTGATACAGGTGTGGCTGAATTGGGAATGGCTGTCATTATGCCTTCACCGCCTGCTCCCCCAGAATGTGACAGGGCATATGTGGAGGCAGCTCACATCACTCTGTAGCTGGTGGGCTTTCCGGGCGTGCTGCAGGCCCAACTGTTCTGGGTCGCTGGTGTGCTGGGGCAGCGGCTGCCTATAGAGCACATCGCTGGCCAGTTGCTGGCTCCTCTTGGCCTGGAGAAAGCCAGGTTGGTCAGCGCGACTGTGGAACTGGGAGCGAGCTTTGGCAAAGTCCTTCCTGTACTCGTTGTCGCTCTGGAGCCTACTGACTTGGAGGAAATGCCTCATCCTTGGGTCGTCATTGATGCTGCGGTACCCAATCTGTAGGCCCCGGTCCCTCAGAAATGCCTCTTTGTACCGGAACTGCAAGTCAGAGAGGCAGAGAGAGAGGTGATGGGGGTGCCTTTCCCCTTCAAAGCCAGCCTCCCTAGAGAGGATAGACCGCAGGACTTCAGCAGGAAGCTCAACAGTGGATAAGGGAGTAAGCTTTGGAATCGAAGCAAGCTGTGCATACAGTCTTGGATCAGCTGTGGAGCCTCTCTGAACAGCTGATAAAAACAGGAGAATAAATTTTTCTTTTTGATTTTTTGAGACAGGGTTTCTCTGTATAGCCTGGGCTGTCCTGGAACTCACTCTGTAGACCAAGCTGGCCTCAAACTCAGAAACCCGCCTGTCTCTGCCTCCTGAGGGCTGGGATTAAAGACGTGCCCCATCACTGTCCAGCAAAACAGGAGAACACATCTTCACCTCATAGGATGTTGAGAGAGGTCAAAGATACGGGACCGAAATGCAATCCACACCCACTGATGATGTATGTGCACCCGTAACCTCAGGTGTGCAGTGTGCACCTGTAACCTCAGGTGTGTAGTGTGCGCCTGTAACCTCAGGTGTGTAGTGTGCGCCTGTAACCTCAGGTGTGGAAGGATGCACCTGTAGCCTCAGGTGTGGAAGAATGTACCTGTAACCCTGTGTGGCTGCTGTAAGTATCACTCCAACAGGAATGGAAGTGAGTCATTCTTTCTTCTCTCCTCCCTATATTCAGGGATCAAGGCTAATGCTTCTCAAATCACTTAAAAGTGAAGAATCTAGTTCATTTTACACAGTCACACTTCTTATTTTATCTTGTGTGTATGTGTATATGTATCAATTCGTGTGTGTGAGTTGAGGAATGTGTGTGCCACAGTGTACTTGTAGAGGACTGAGGACAACCCTGAATGTCTGTCTACAGTGTTAGAGATAAAGTCTCATGTTAGCTAGTCTATGTGTCAGGCTATCACATCAGGGGCTACAGACACATCCCACCACCTGGCGTTACATGGAATCTGTGAGTCTGAACATGAGTCCTCAGGCTTGCACAGAAGCAATTTCACAAGAGGTTCGTTACTACAGACTGAGCAGACACAAAAGCACAGATTCCTTGGCTTCCAGATGACCCACACCAACTACTGTGTACCTCTCCTAAAAAACGTCGCCAAAACCAAAACAAAACAAACCCTTCACAAGCCTGTATTTCTGCTACAATCCTAAGAGCCAGGCCCATGTTCTCCATGCATCCCGTTTTCCTTTTAGTGTGGAGAAAGGCAATCTGGTGGCCCGTGAGTCTTTCCTGTGCCTTCCAGCTCACTTGGATAACCAGGGAGAACTCTATCATCTGCAGACAGGGTTTGGAGTCTTACATCACTGGCGATATCCCTGGATGCCCTCGCAGTCTGGAACGGGATAGCATCCAGCCTGAAGTCATAGCCGCCAGCCCGGTTCTGCTCCCAGGCATTCCTGTAGACTTTCTGGTGGAGAGAACAACAACACTTGAGTGAGGAGCACCCACTGCCTACATGCTATTTGGTCTCAGCTGGTCTCAGCTGGTCTCAGCTGGTCTCAGCTGGTCTCAGCAGGAGTCAGGCTCCAGGGATATCTGAGTCCATGGCCCTTCTGAGACTGGGGACTTCCTGACTCTAGGATTGATGGAACTGGCCATAAAGGGTTTCTGCTCTTCAGGAGTCGGGGTCTGTGGGTCTAGCTCGCTTACCACACACTGCTATTCTCAGGGGCCTTGCACCATCCATTCTTTGTCTGGATACCCTCTCTGTCTCATTGTTTCAGGCTCCTGACCCAAGAACCTGGAGCTCCAGAACTGAGGTGCTCCCCACGTGCTAGGTCTCTCCCACCTCTTGTTCCACTGACTCCCTGAGGTTGGAGGGTTCAGTCTAGCTGTGATACCTCACCCCACCACTAGGAGGCATGGTATATCTCTCATGCACTCCAGAGCCATGCAGGGAGGTCTGAGCTTTCACCTGAATTAAATGGATTGTCAAGACCATGCATGATAGGTACTTGGGGAATGAAACAAGGAAAGACAAGCAGATGAAAAGCAAAGTGCTCCGCCCACTTTTATTCTGAGCCTAGCACTGAAAGAGAAGCAGGAAGTGCCTGGGCCAAGCAGAGCAGATCTTAGCGTCTACCTGAGACTGCTATGATCACACCACCTTGTCCTCCAACTCTAACACTCAAATACACCAGTCCCAAGAAACACAGAACCAAGCCTTGCAATGGGAATCATCTAACTGCGGTCACGGTCAGAGCCAACTGCTTCCATGGACGGGGTCACTATCTAGCTTAACAGCGTGGGCTGGAAGATATCCAAGAGAAGGAGGACTCAAACAATAACCCACCAACAGTCCCTTCTAGCCATCTGCGTCCTGTCCCGAAGTCTTCCAAAGATGTCTGAGTGGGAAATGGAGACAAGAACCCCAAACACTCTATGAGGGGGGACCCAGTGCTTTCCCAATAAGAGCCTCTGTCCCAGATCTAGGCCAGTTAAGGACGCCAAACTTTCTACCAGCTTTAAGTCCAACACCAAGCTGTGTCAGTGGCCTGTGCACCCCAGCCTCAGGTAACTTGTGGACACCTGTAGACGCAGTGGCCTGAACTGGGGTTGTCCTCAGCGTGTGAGCTCTCTTTCTCCAGCGTCCTCCCATCCCCACCACCCACACTGCTTGCTTATGGTGGCATCCTCCTGTGTTTTCTATGCTGCTGAGGTCTCCTCTCTGTTGCTGGCATCCTTTACATTCCACAGGCATGGCGGCGGGCTTTGATTCGGAACCCTGGGCGCTCCTCTTCTTGATCACAGTTTTGTTCTCGGCCTCACACATTAGAGTCATTTGATTTTTGAGTTATTTCGGCTGCCTTGTACATCTCAATGGCTTTCTTTGCTCAGGAAGGTCACTTTGCCCCCACATCCTCCTCACAGAGCACTTGATCCAATTGTGTGCATACCACACGCCCCTGAAGAAGTGTTCTTTCAAACGGAGGTTCACGAGCTCTCCACACCCCATGAGCCCTGGTGGCTAATTTCAGCTCCAGGACTCTGTAGGCTGTCCCCTCCACCCTGTGAGAGCAAGCACACTGCTCTTGCCAGCCCGGGGTAGTTGTCCTCCTTAAGCTGGGACCCTCATGAACTAGTACTTTTTTCCCAGTCTCTGGGCTGAGGTCCTCGGATAGTTGCTTCAGTGAAGACCTGGCCTCCCCATCCTTGGGAATTAATGAGCTGGACCTTCTGTGCCAGCTCTGCAGAGGGGGCGTTCCAGCTTCCCCAGATGGAGGCCAGCCCACCAGAGCTGCTTTCTAAAATTATCCCTCGCTCATTCCTCAAAAGCATCAAATGGTTGTAATAACTCATATTTACAAAGCACGAGAGCATTCACCGTGCGGGATCCCACAGGGCTTTACAACTGCAACAAACTAATACACACGCTAACTAGAAGGCGCCTCTCTCCAACCCCTGCAAGGCAGCCACCTCTGGGGTGAACAGCAGCAGCTGCCGATCCACACGCAGCCCCAGGACACAATGGCCAGGCCAGGCAAGGAAGAATGTCTGGACGCCAGGAGGCCGCTCGCTGCCCCAGGCCGACACACTCAGCCTGTGTTATTCCGACCTGACGGTGTCTTTTGATTGCACCGTTTCTTTACCTGTCATCTGGGGATCACAGCATCGCTGGCTGAGCGGCTGCCTATTCTATTAAACCAGGGGCCTCCAACCCCTGCCAACAACAAGCCCGAGTTTAGGAAACAGCGTGTTGGTTATGCACGCAAAGGGCAGATATCCAAGGGAAGCTGGAGTGTTGGCAGGCACGGTTCCATGCACAAAGGAGCCGACTACGTTGGGGACATCTTTTCAAACTGTAAAGTAAGATGGTGTCATTCCATCCTCCAGACGTCTCTGAATGGCTAAAGAGAGGTGGCCAAGAAATTAACAGAGCAGGTTTGTCTACACCTGCCAGCAGTGCCTAGGACTATACCCCTGACCACTGCCAGGAACAAGACTGGGGCTTTGAAGCCCAGCCTAGAATCAGAACATTAGAGCTACCGAAACTCTCACTGAGTTCAGCTCCATCTCTTCCTGGTTTACAGGTAAGGAAACTGAGGCTCAGGGGAGGAAAAATGACAGGAAGTCACAGGGACAGTTTGTCCTGCTCTGGGTACAGGGATTTTTTCACTTTTACGTCCTCCTTCTTAGACTTAAAAAGAAAAAGTCGATAAATCCCTTGAGGGCTAGGAGCGTTACAGAAGCTGGCACGCAGCACCTGTGTCTGCTTGTGGCTACTTACGTCACTCAGATGCATTGCGTTCATGCGGGCTCGGGTGAAATCCGGGTGGTCTGGGATTGGGGTGTACCTATGCAGGGAGTCTGCATCTCCCAACCTGTACAGGCGCTGCAGGCAAGACAAAAAACAGTCAAGGCAGAGCTGAGGTAGAACCGTCCTTGATTCCCTCCCCTGGGCCTTCCCATCGACTACATGAAGCAGAATTCAGCACGGTTCTTTGAGACAATTCTAGAACTATCTGCTGAGTAGAAGGTGCCTACGTGGCCTGGATCACGTGATGGTGAACGCTGTTAAAATAGTCACATGATCTGTTCCAAAATGAACCATAAACAAACAACTCCCTCATTGGCCATGCCTGTGTATGTCACTTGGCCACAAGTGGGTAGCTGTGTCTCAGGCCCTCTGCAACCCAATGCATGCATTCACTGGTAACTAAAGAAAACCCCAGGCCTTGAAGCCCTGTTGTTGAACATGAATTGTTGTAATAAAAAAGCAGATTAACCTTTCTTATTAATCATAAGTCTTGGTGCTTAATAAGGTTTTCATAATTTACCCAGATCCCACAAAGACACAGTTTTAAGATTAATGCTTTGTCTTGGTTTTCATTCTTAGAGCAGCAATGTAAGCAAGCCTTGCCAACAACTTTAAGAAGCAGTTGAATTCCGTCTACTTCTCCAGGTGTAGACATCCTATTTCTGATCATTCCCAACACCAGTTAGGCTTGGAAAATGGGAACTGTTCAGGGCAGCATTCGGGACTCTGGCCGTCCTGTAACTGTTTGGGGAATAAAACCTCTTGACAATTCAAAGGAGAAAATACATGCAGCTTCCTGTCCCTTGAAAAAGGAAATAGGCCGGGCGGTGGTGGCACACGCCTTTAATCCCAGCACTTGGGAGGCAAAGACAGGTGGATTTCTGAGTCCAAGACCAGCCTGGTCTACAGAGTGAGTTCCAGGACAGCCAGGACTATACAGAGAAACCCTGTCTAGAAAAACCAAAAAAAAAAAAAAAAAAAAAGGAAACAGGGCTAAAATACACAGGGAACATAGGCAGAAGGAAGCTTGGAATATAACTGTGCTCTTTTTCACTAGCGGGTTACATGAGGCCTTTTAATTCCATTGCAAACATCAGTAATTAGGATGCGACTGATCTCACGTTTGTTAATACTAGGTATCATTAGGATTAAAAATCAAACCATAATAATGAAATTTATAGAGGACTCACTGTGTTCCTGGGCTTTGCTTAAAGCTGTATTTGTTTTTTCTTATCTAATCCTCTTTAAATTCACTCAACCATATGAAATGACTGCTGTCTCTATTCTCCTACCCCATCCCTCCTTCAAGTAAGGAGAACGGGAGAATTCAGTCAGAAGAGCTTAGCAACTGGCCCATGATCACCCGGATGGCTTGCACGCCCTTCTGACACCAAGCCACAGCACCGCAATGCACGGCCTAGGTGGGTGAGGTCGAGGAACCCACCTCGTTACAGTGCACATAGCTCTCCCTGGCATGAATGAGGTCTGGAGAGTCAACCACGGTTGTGAACTTGATGCTGTCTGGTTTTTTACGGTACTTGGTCTATAAGAGGAAAGATTCCCATGAGAGATGATTAAATATGACTTCCATCTTTAATCCCAGCTTCTTGGGACCAAATGTATATCAGGAGACAAGCCACTCGGATTGATAGGCACCTGGAAATCAGGAGTCTGGGAGGGGCTCAAGCTATCTCTATGATTAAAAGCCTGCAACAGATATTTAGCCTGACCAATACAGATGCAGATGCTCACAGCCAACTATTGGACTGAGCATGGGGATCCCAATGGAGGAGTCACAGAAAGGACTGAAGAAGCTGAAGGGGTTCACAACTCCATAGAAGAACAACAAAATCAACCAACCAGACCCTCCTCCCCCAGAGCTCCCAAGGACTAAACCACCAACCTAACAGCACACATCAGAGGGACCCATGGCTCCAGCTGCATATGGATGCTGCCTTATGTGGCATAAATGGGAGGGGAAGCCCGTGGTCCTGTGGAGGCTCATTGATGCTAGGGTGGTGAATCGGGAGTGGGTGGGTGGGTAGGGGAACTCACTCATAGAAGCAGGAGGGAGGGAGGGTGAGATAGGGGGTTTGTAGAGGGGAAACTGGGAAGGGAGATAACATTTGAAATGTAATATATGTATATATATATATCATGTAATATATATATATATATATATGTGTGTATATATATGTGTATATATATATATATATATATATATGTGTATATATATATATATTTTGTAAAAGAGTCCTGTTGTTAAGGAAAGTGCTAGGCATCAACCTAGCCTTGCTTAGACCCTCTCCAAGCAAATTCTGCTAGCAAAAAACAAAAAAACAAACAAACAAAAAAAACAAAAAAAAACCCAAAGATGGCAGTATTTTCTCAGGGGGACTATAGGGCAGAGGTCCCAGGCCATCAATCAATTGATATTGCTATACCTATGCAATTTTAATATCCATATGGGAGCCAAGTGACCTCTGTACACTGGACCGAACTCATGGGTAGATAGAGATTCTCCACATTGCCAATGAAAACAGAGGCCACGTTGGATGACAACTGGTCACAATGTATTTAGTAAGAAGCTCTTGATATGTTTAATGCCCTCAACTCCCAGGCAATGAATTAATTACAGGGAAATATTGTTTTAGGTTTGGGTTGCAAACGGCTTAAGAAAAGATGCTGGGTGTCTGTCAGCTGTGGGTCTATCTTGGCATGGTCTCTACTGTGTCAACGGGTTCCCTATTCAGAAGGGAAGGCTCGGGTTGTACGTGTCACTCAGGAAGATGTGCAGATGTTACCTCACTGATGAGCTCTCCGGCCTTCTTTGCACTCTCCATCTGAGGAGATCGCAGAGCCAGCCATCCTGTCCCCTTCATACCCGTCAAGTCTGCCCTGTAGCGAAACTGCAGAGAGAAAATCAAGGGCTTCTGTCAAGGCCATGCCTAGGACCGTAGGGCATTTCAGGAAGGCCTTTGCTGTGCAATAATAACAATAAAGAATAAAGAACAATAAGTCCTCTGCAACCATGCTTCATCCCATCAGCTCGCTGTCTTCACTAAGAGAAGACTCTGGACACCGAGTCCAGCTGTTTTGGGTTTGTGCATTTTTCATGAATAAAGGAATAACCTAAAGGTACACGAAGGCCCATCAGCAAGACTTGAAACTGGCAGCAATGACATCTGTGGAGAAGAAGCGTTTAAAGGAAGAGCTACGTGCTCAAATCCAGGGATCAATCAGGATTATTCTGGTTCATTCTGCCAGTGAGGTAATCTACCACCTGTCAACCCAGGACGACCTGCACTCAGGGTGAACTGATCAAACGGTTTCGAGCCCCGGATCGAAGCTGCCATGACTCAGAGTAAATTACTTTTCCAAAATGCAGTTCAGTCTCTGTCACGTGTGAAGGCCAAAACAACCCTTCTTGTAAAAACACACACACACACACACACACACGCACACACATACCCCACATGTTAAGAGTCCCCGGGGACAAGAAATAGTCAGATATTTTTTGTTCTTGATATAGTGGCCACACAGGGTGCCAGAGTCAACTATATGACGAATTTAAAAACTAAAACAAATTCCAATGAGATGGGCCAGCAATGAGTAGCCCCTTTAATATCTTCAGGCCTCAGTTAACTCTTACCCCCAGCTATAACTTAGTAAGATTTGCTCATATTGCAAAATCAGGCAAAGTCTTATCTGCTCTTTATTTTAAAGGCTTAGAAGGTTAGGCCAGTAACACCATCCCTGGGAGAAAATAAATAGGAACGTTCCAACAGTGGCTCTGATGCAAGCCCCCAAACTGTCAAACCTCATTAGCAATCCTTGATCTACCTGCATCACCTAAATGATGCCATCACCCAGGTGCCTTTCTTCTCCTCTTTATGGAAACTGATTTTTTTTTTGAAGGTAGAAAAAGCCTCTCTAAGGAAATCTGAAATTCGGCCCTAAACGAAGTTTCATGGAGTCTGTCTAATTTAGATATAAGCCCTGCTGTAACGCAAAATATCGTTCTAGATATCAGCCTCTCGGCCTCTTTAGCTGGCTTTCATTTCAGGATCCACAGTGCTCCTCACAGCTGGCCTCAAAGAGGGTCTGTTTCTGATCTACTGTCTGCTGGTTAATGCCCCTGTGTCAATCCCACACTGATCTCCGACCGGCGAAGGGGAGGGCATCTCTCATGCTCGAGAGCAGGTTTCAAAACCCCATGTCAGTAAGATTGCTTTTCATACCGTGTCTTTTCAGTCTACCGCGGCAATGCTTTTGCCTTCGACTCTGATAAAGAACAGAGAAAATTGGATAAATTTCTAAGTTGGAGAGAATAATCCTACAGGGCCTCTTCATAGCCAGGATCTGCTCCTTTCATGAGCCAGATGAAGTGCAGAGCGCCCTTTCAACTTGCCTCTTGTTCAGCTGAACAGTCCGATTACAGGTAAGACAGAAAGCAAGATGCGGGTTCCCCGAAGGGCTGACTGTGCCTTGACTCCTATAAACAGACCATCCATTGATAGCTCAGCCCCCAGCCCAGCTTGCGCTATCCACGCAGACCCTAAAAACAACATGCCCGCCCCAGACTTCACAATGAAAGAAGGAAGAAAGGAGGGAGCCGAGAAGACTCAGCTATCCAAAGACGGTGTCAGAGAATTAGTCTAAGAAAGGAATAAACCTTCTCAGACGGCCCAACCTCATCTGACCTACCCAAATGGCAGATTCTCTTTCCCCTTACACATACTAAGGACTGGAGGCCCACCGAGACATCATGGATGGAGCTTTCCCCACACTCCATCTTGGAGCAATCTCTTGGAAATTCTGTAAGCACAACATTCACTTCCTGAGTAGTAGTGAGTGTGGGAACAGTCCAAGCAATTGTTCCCAGGAGGTACCCGGAAGAAACTGTGTGTTTGTCATGTAGAATACAAAAAGCATTCTACACAAGGCAGTGCTTGTGTAGAATCTATCTCAACGCATGTGCGTTCTGCCTTGCAGAGAGGTTCTTGTTCTCACCCACAGAACAACTTTAGCAACCAAATGCTGTTTCGGATACTAAGACCCAAGGGCTGCTGTGATCTCGGCAAGGCACACCAGAAGCCATCAGGAATACCGACTAGAGAATCTGGGTCATAATATAGCCACCTATGGAAGCCAGAGAGACTGATCAGGAAACCATAGCCGGAAGCCCTGCTCCATCTCTTTCTAGCTGTAGGACCCTGGGAAAGCCATTTCCTGACAGCTTGTGACCCAAGGCAGATGACTTAGATGATGACATCATATCTGCTTCTGCAAAAATAAGAGTGATACATGTTCCTTTGTATTAAATGAGATTGGTAAGTCTTTACACTAATACCTGGCCCAGGAAGTAGCAGGGGGTCTATATGTTTTAGCTATTCTCATTCCTCATGGAGGAACCGGAGCCTGGAGTATTTCAAGAGTCAACTCAAGGTTACCACCCTGGGGAAGGGTGGGGCATGTACGCTTTAAGATTTTCTCCAGCCCTGGGATGAGATTACACAGGAGCAGGGAAGAGCTAACGGACCAAAGAGGTCATGGAAGGCTCTGCCAAGTGTTCAGAATGGACGTCCCCAGGCCAGAGTGTACATGTCGTGACCCTAGAAGGAAAGCAGAGCTTGGACGTGACATCAGCAATCATGACCTTGTGAAGTTTAGCCCACATCGGGAACATGTCTCAGACCTTCTGGTACAACCTAGTGCTTTCTTCCTAGGCAGGGCAGGGAAACACAGAAGCAGCTCAACTAACAAGCTCCTGTGGTGAGCTTGGTGGTTAAGAGCACTTGCTGCGTCTGCAGAGGACGTTCCTTTGACCCCTGCAACAACACAAGCCAACTCACATCTGCCCATAACACTAGTTCCAGGAGATAGGGTGCCCTCTTCTGGTCTCTGCAGGCACTACACTCATATAGTGTGTGTGTATGTATGTATGTATGTATGTATGTATGTATGTATGTATGTATTATGTATGTATTATGTATGTATGCATGCATGTATGTATATCAACCATATATATTAATGAATGAAAGAATGAATGTATGAAAAATGGATATGATGATGACTATAATAAAGTTAACACCTGGAACACTATCACTGTTCATCACAGCTGGGAGTTCGGACTTCTTAACATTAAACCAATCGTAGGCTAAACACAGTGCGAGAGAGCATCATGTGGTCATTTCTTAGCCCTCAGAGTTGTAAATCTGACCCTGTTTTAAAAATGGAAATATTCAGTTTCCAGCTTCCGTTTCTCCTGTGAGACTACGGCCTCCATACTTTTCAAATGTTAAACTTTTTTTTTCTTTCTTTTCAAAAATAAAAGCAACATAAATCATACTTTTGGGTGGTATTTAAGGTTTTTTTCCTTCATAAAATAAAACTTGGCATTATGTTGATCCTTTGGTTAAAAGAGAATTTCCTGTGACTCTCAAAGGTCTGAGATCATGAAACAGATCAAACTTTGCTCCTTTTCTGACTCTGGGATGGAGTATAGGAAGTATAATGGCTGCTCAGGTTCACCCGGCCAGCCAAGGACCGAGCTGGGTATGCATCCGCCTGCTGGCTCAGCAATGAGGTATGGTGACTTGTTCATCAATAAGATTATTATTCTGATAGTCCCTGGCCATTTCTGTGTCTGTGATACCCTGCTTATTGCCTTGAACCAAGAGCAGGGTATCACAGACACAGAAATGGCCAGAGACTTTTAGAATAATAATCTAACATTATTACTCTGCCCCGGGGGCAGCAGAACTGAGGTCTGGTTGGGGAACTTATGAGAGTAGCCTGTTTCTTCTAGGATTTTGTGGACCAGGCTTCAGGCTAAGTTCTTCACATAAACCGGCTCTCAGCTACAGACTGGGTTCTCAACCTGAGTTAATTTCACTCCCCCGAGGATTTCTTGGAGGCACTTTGTTACTTTAGTAAATATAGGCTTGAGATATCGGTGCTCTAAGTGCCTTGTGGTGCTCTGAACACACTTCCACTGTGGGGCCTAAGATCTTCCAATGGTAGGAAGACATGACAAAGGCCAACTGCCCATAGCTTCCAGTCTAAAGTGGAAGTACCTTTTGCTTAGGGTTGGCATAGGGCCCAGAGAGATGGCAGTGGTGCTATGCTCCACTCTGTGTGTCCTATAAAACCACAGCACATGATCACTGAACTGTCATCACCATGTCCAAGGCTGAGCGAGGATGAGGGACCTGTGCAAGCTCACATGGATGGCACAGGGGATGTACACCTCAGAAACAGAACTGCAGAGCCTTCCTCCAGAGACATGGCACTCGGCTGCATCCTCTCTCCCCTGACCTGCCACTGCTCTTGATTAGGGAAAGATTTCTCCTTCGGGAGCCTTGGGGCCTATACCTGTTGCTACTGTTTTTAGATCCTTTTACAAGAGAGCCAGAGTTCAGAGGGTGAGACCTGAGCCCACCTTACCAAGCCTCCCTAGCAGCTGTAAGCTCAGTATAGCAGTCAGTGTGGTAAGCTCAGTATAGCAGTCA